TGTGTCAGTTAAATATTACTCACGTTCATCTCAACCTTGGTGTAATCCATCATCTGCAGGTACGTGTCAGTTAAATATTACGTTCATCTCAACCTTGGTGTAATCCATCAGGAAGTTTCATTTAAATATTTCACATATTATTCTCAAGAGTTAGCACACAGGATCACAAACGATAGGTACAATGAATTTCAAAAATGACTTAACACTCAAGATTTTGAATAGTTGACTATTCTTCTTCAGGATAATAAAGAGTGATAAGTAGTTAGTGCAAGGTAATATACAGGTGCAGATGTCGACGCCACGTAAGCCTGATCTTCCTGACGAGTTGACCTTGGAGACTAGCCAAACATAACTGGAGACGATGGTGTCAGGCGTAGCTTGTACCAAAGAAATGTGTACATTGCAAGAAAGACATATGAGTGATAATAGTTTAAAAATATTTAAACAGTTTTCATAGGATAGAAAAATAAAAAGGGGACGGGAATTAGAGAATGTGATCATGCAAAACAATATACATATAGGAAATAATACCAATATAGAGAAATAAAAATATGGATCTATACTAATAGTAAAAAAATAAATCTAATTACAAACTTGGCTTTGGAAGTGTTTTAGATGCGTACTAAGGTCAATAATCCATGAATCGAGATTGATGCCATTCGACGTTATTACAGTATTTAACAATGCTATCCAATGAGCTTCTTTAATTTCCCTGTTTGATTTAAAATCTGTCTCTATACCGTCAGTTCAATATCTTCAAGAGAGTGTCCAGGCATCATGTTAAAGTGTTTTGTGACCGGAAGTTATTCCTAAATAAATCAGTTTAATATCTTCAAGAGAGTTTCCAGGCATCATGTTATAGTGTTTTGTGACCGGAAGTTCTTCTTCAATAAATCAGTTTAATATATCCAAGAGAGTGTTCAGGCATCATGTTAAAGTGTTTTGTGACCGGAATTTATTCCTCAATAAATCAGTTTAATATCTTCAAAAGAGTGTCCAGGCATCATGTTAAAGTGTTTTGTGACCGGAAGTTCTTCAGTAAATCAGTTGTTAAACCAGCAGTTACAGAGTCAAACTATTCCTAAATATCTGAATCCATCAGTTACCATAGGAGCCAATAACAAACTGTTTTATTCACAATGGAGGAAAATCCTTCATTTCATCTGTTATACTTATGAAGCTCACACGAGACTTTTGCAAATCCACAAGAGCCAATCTTGACAAGAAAATTTTCGCTATAATTTCCGAGAGCATACTTTATCCAACTAAATAACAGAAACTTGATGTATTTGTTAATAAAACCAAAAAAGCCTTTCGAAAATCACATGAAAACCAACAATCAACAAACACATCATGATCTTTCCGCTTCACACAAAGACAAAGGATTTTCCCACCAAAACCTTAATGTCTCTTTACAACAAAATACAAACTTTAAACAAACCCATATTGATGTAAGCCGTTGTCTGATAACGATACAAACACGTGCATTGAGCTGTTCTTTAAAATAAACTGTACTCCCGACACATCTAATTCAGTCACTTCCTGCTCCGAGTGACCCAAACCAGAGAACACTTCCAATGTTGTCTGTCTGTCCTCTAAAATATTAACTGAAACTCAGTAAAGGTCTCAACTTTTTTTTCCTATTATTTACAGGTTCCGATTGTGGTGAAAATGAGTACCTGATCAAGCCTAAGAGATTCCATATCGATTCAATATAAACAATAAAATTAATTTCCTGTTGTAAGAACCAAACAAATAAACATAAATAATACATTTATAGGATCAAAGAGGCTTTGACATTTTTCTTTGTTTAAATGAAGCCAACTTAAAATCAAAATTTTCTTTCTGATGTATTTCACTTAGCATATATAAACACTCACCTTAAGTATAGCGTTTGTTTTTTAAATGAGTATTGCTTATAATGCTATATAAGTTAATCAGTTACTTACTTTTTAGTCACGAGTATTAGTTTCAATATAGTAACCGATAGATTATAAGCGACGATTGCTTATCTCAGCGGATTAATTTATCATTGTGATTATTGGATTAGATTTTCTTGATTTAAGTTTTAATTGATTTTTTTTTACACATACGATTTCAAATCAATAACTTGTTTGTATTCTTTTGTTTGTTTTTTTCTCGCAAGCTATATACTTAACACTATTTATGATATGTCAAAACATTTGTTACATGAATATTTTAATTTTTTTTTCATGTAGTATTTCGTTTCTCATTGAAGGGTCGATATAACGAGGCCTTGAAACACTACCAGTCAGCTCAAAACCTGGATCCAAACAACCCAGTGGTCGTGGAAAACATGAAAAAATTAAGAAAGCAAGTATTCAAGTCGTCGCCGCGAGAGTGTGTGGGTGACAGTGCCACCTGTCGGACGTGCTAAATCCGTAGTTTGAGATGCCATAGGCTTCTGTAATCTCTGTTTAATTGGAATACAGTGATCCACACTTGATGTGACTGTAGAGTGGTCTTTTGTATAAGGTATTTGTTACGAGTGAAACCTAATGAGTACGTAATGGTGCAAAAAAAAAACGTTTTTAGTTTAACTTGAAAAGCTGGAAAAAATGGTCTGTATGACCAATAAAAAAAAACTGTGTTTGTGTAGACAAGCTATGGATGCTTGGAAATTTTTAATAAACATTTTTAATATTTCAGAAGCGCTTTGCCGAGACTTCTGAATTTCTAAGTCTGTTTATTAAAGATATGGTACAAGCGACTTCATAACAACTGGGAAAACAGATATACTATGATAAGTGACTTTTATCGAGGAGCAGCTGGATGACTCATGGATTTGCTAAAATTCATAGAGAGTTCTACGCATGCGTGAACCTACACACTAAACAATTAGGAAGAGTGTTGTATGTTTGTCAGAATCATTGTTGATAAATGTTTGAGTGTGTGTCATTTTCATTTGTATCTTGTACCTTATTTAGTATTAAGTTTGAGAAAACAAGGGTTAATCTTATATATATCTTTGTAGTTAGTATCATGATGTTTAAAGCCAATGAAAGCAGAATATCTTACATGTCAATGTTACTGCTCTATGAGAAATCCGTACGAAAATCTTACATGTCAATGCTACTGCTCTATGAGAAATCCGTACGAAAATCTTACATGTCAATGTTACTGCTCTATCAGAAATCCGTACGAAAATCTTACATGTCAATGCTACTGCTCTATGAGAAATCCCTACGAAATTATTTCGGGATTATTATTGAACCGAAGTATAGAAAAAATCTTGATCACTTCCCTAGGCAACCGAAGAGTACAAGTGTATTAATTTATATAAACTTGTTCTATAAACCTGATTTGTGGAAACGAAACTTTATATCATGCTTTGTGAAACTGATCCAATAATATACACGTCGAGCAACCTTCCACGTGTTTGTATCGCTTCACACAAGTATCATCTAGTAGCAATGTGTTCCCTTGGAAACACAAATCTTCAAAGGAAGTAGCCTCTTACGGGTGCACTGGTGTAAAAAGTCTCTTTAGGATCGTCTTAAACCTAAAATTAAATGCTGGTATTGATCACTTGTACGCTTGCATCTCGTGTTACTTTTGATATTTTTTGTGGCGTTAGGTTTTTAATTACGCTTTAATATCATGTTAAGAATGTGCACATTTTATAGGCATTTTCAGAATGAATTAAGATAATAACTTATACAACGCCATAGATAACATCAAGTACAAAAATGAGATCTAATCGGATTTATTCGACCAGTGAGCACGGCGATGAGTGCCTTCTGTCAATGTACTTGTTAACTTGTTTGATTTCCCGGGTATTTATTACTTCAAAATAGTAGAATGTCAGAAGTATAGTTTTATGCACGATCCCAATTTTTATCATAGTTCTGAAGCAAGTCTAATAGAAACTCTGAAAACCTACCGTTGTCCAAAGGGTTAGAAGTAAAATGAAATGTCATTCAGGGGTCAAATTCTAAAGCTTTGCTTCTCTTTGTTTAGGTTACTTGGTACGTTGTGCTTTCTAGTTTTTTACTAAGTTATGTAGAGAAGTTCTTGAGCCCTCCTGCAGGGGGACATGTCAAACTTTATCGGTGTCTCAACAGGGCATGGCTAGGTGGTTAGGGCGCTCGACTCGCAATCTGTGGGTCGCGGGTTCGAATCTCTGTCACACCAATCATGCTCGCCTTTTCAGCCTTGGTGGCGTTATAACGTGACGGTCAATCCTACTATTCGTTGGTAAAAGAGTAGCCCAAGCGATGGCGGTGGATGGTG